AAATAGCAGAAGCTCTGAAGTTTTACCCCTAGAGCCTTTTTAAAGTTATTTTTTGGGTAACAAATCACCCCCCAACCTAGCAGCTTAAACAAAGAAAATTTATTATTAAACAGTCTCTGTGGGTCACGAATCCAAGAACAGCTTTGCTGTGTGATTCTGCCTTGAGGTTTCTCCTGGGGTTGTGGTCAAGGACCCATTGGGGGCTGCCATTATCTTGAAACTTGGATGGGACTGGAGGGTGTCCTTGCTGGATGCCACAGTCACCAGATGGGCAATTCTGCGCCGCCTGCTGACTGGAAACCTCACTTCCTTCCCATGTGGAGCTCTCCATAGAATGGTTTGTGTCTCTCTGATGTGGCAGCTGGCTTGCCTCACAGCGAGTGCCAGAGAGTGAAATGGAAACTGCAGTATCTTTGATTACACAACCAAACTCTCATTTCTGCTATATCTTATTCATTGCACAGGCTCCCCTACTCCCTGAGGAGGGAACCATCAGATTTCCGCGAATGGCACCACGAACGTTTTTTGCTGAGTATTTGGATAGTTTCGCTGTGTATTAATTTGAGTTTTATTTTAGTTATTTACTATTTAAATTTTTTTATATTTTATTTTATATATTTTTTACATCATTTTTCATTTTTGAACAATGTATGATTTTATCTTGGTTATATTCCCCATACAATTCCCACCCTCCGTATTTTGACCCTAATCCCTCCTACCCCCCTCCCCCCCTCGTAGTGTGTCTCTGGCTTATAGTTGCTTGTTGATTTTGATTTTTACTTCATTATAATTAGTCTTTCTCCTGGCCCCTTATTTAGGTTTTCTAAATTCCTGCTATGAGTGAGACCATCCGCTATTTTCCTTTTTCTTTCTGCCTTATTTCGCTGAGCATGATCCCTTCCAGCTCCATCCATGTTGCTGCAAATTGTATGAGTTTATCTTTTTTGATTGCTGAATAGTATTCCATTGTGTATATGTACCACATCTTCTTGATCCAGTCATCTATTTTGGGGCATTTGGGTTGTTTCCATAGCTTAGCTATGGTAAATAGTGCTGTGATAAACATAGGGGTGCAGGTGCCCTCTTGAATTAATGATTCTGTGTCCTTTGGGTAAATACCCAGGAGTGGAATATTTTAGATATTTTTTTTTTTTTTGCATGAGTTTAAATAGAAAACATTTAAGATGAGTTGAACGTATCTGGTTTAGGCACATCAATGAGAGTTTTTCAGTTTTAAAGTCATTAGAGAAACTGAGACAAATATGTTTTTATCCTTCTTCAGTTTGTGTTTTGAAAGTCTTAGTTTTAAAGATTTACATTGACTAAATAAACAAAAGCGGTATAAGAACTTTCAGTATTGACACAGGCACATAATTATTTTCAGGTGGCTTTATGTTAAGATGTGAAAAAAGAACTACTGATTTTTCTTCTCTCTTCTCCTACTTCCTATCCCAAGAACCCAACTCTTCCCCAAATTTGTTTCTCAGTGACACAATTGAAACTGGAGCATTTTCTGATGTTTATACTTTTTCCTGATCTCTATGAAAATGAAATTCATATTAAATTTGGAACCTGTGTTTGACTGCATGTATCAGTTTGCATTAAAAAAAAAAGCATTTCTAGTATGTCATTTTTGTCTAACTAAATAGTAAGCTTCTTAAAAAAAAAAAAGCATCTTGCTCTATATATCTCTTGAATTCCTAGCCAGGAAGCACTGTAGCTGGTCGCATCATAACTCACTGAAGACTTTGTGCTAAATTCAAAGGACCATCCTATCTGACACAGCAGATACTATAACCTAGGAGCAGACATGGTGACTTGAAAAATGAGTGTAAACTTCTGAAAGGAAAAACCTGGATCTTGTGTTACCTTCCCTGGTATGAATATCTAAGGAGTGAAAAACAGTGTATTGCCCTACCATAGACTTGGTGATATTCTGGAAATATTTTTCTCAGTGTATCTGTTTTCTACAATCTGAATCAAACATACTTTCCATGAATGTTTCAGGCATTTCTTTCTTTCTTTTTTTTTTTTTTTAAAGATTTATTTATTTATTTATACAAGCACTGGGTACAGTCAGAAGTACGGGAGGGTGAGAGAATTCACCAGAGCCAGAGCAGGGAGCAGAGCAGGCAGAAGGACCAAAGTACACTGCTGAGGGGAGCAGCGGGCGGAGGGATAGGTCTGTGCGCCATGTGGGACCCTCCTCCGGTGGCCGGGAGCAGCCAGGGATTGAACTGGCACTTTGAATGTGGTACCCTCCTCTGGTGGCCGGGGAGCAGCCGGGGATCGAACCAACGCTGCAGAGGCTGTGGGCAGCTTCGCTACCCAGCACTCAACTGCTGGGCCACCGGGGAGGTCTGTCAGGCATTTATTTCTAAAAGCCCCATATAGTTTTAAGCTATAGGGCACCTACCAGAAGAGTGATATAAAAAGTGGAAATTACTTGAAACAGTGATTCTGGAACTATTTTGTTTTTTAGCCTGTTTAAATAACAGGGCATATTTTGTTAGGACTCTGTGGAAAAGATACATTATATATTTAGTAATAGATAGTATCTGTAACAATTTTGATGTTTAAATTTAGATGGGAGCCAACTGAGTTCTGTTGTTTTAATCAGGTTTTTCTAAAGTGACAATTTACTGAATACATTCTTCAGTCCAGCCATCCAGAACAATCATAGAAAATGTTTAATTTTTTTAAAACTCAAATGTGGTTAAAAATGAATGCAAAGCAGCCCTGACACATTCTTGTGCCTGTAAGCAGGATTCTACAGGCCAATGCCTGCAGGGTTTTGCCTGCAGGGAAAATTAAAGAAAGTCAATGCAAATCAGGGCAGTTTTTCAAGAAGGTAACCTGTGTGGACAAGTATTTGTTTAGGGCCATAAAAATGTCTTTTCTTTCCTTCTTTCTGAAACTTGAACTTCATAGTAATAGTTATTTAAAGGCAGTGCACCTTGAATAGGGGCTGACGAAGCCATGAAAGGGTATATGTTAGAAACATTCTCTGGGCCAGTATCTGCCACCATCATTTGGGGCACAGCCTGGATGCCTGAGAAAGAGTGGGGGGTGGGGTGGGGAGGAGCTGATGTTCCATCAAGATCTTTCCTGCTCTGACTCTTTTAGATTCTAACTAAGATGCCCCGGGTTGGAACTGCTGTGAGACACATGAGAAATGTATCCAGGATTGTGAAATTGGATTGCTCACGGCTTTATAAATTTTCAAGTATTTAAAATATTTGTTTAACATTATGCTAGAACCTGCAAACGATGTGGAAATTTACTACTTGTTTATAATTTTTTGACTCAGGGAGATAGAATCAATACCTGTTAGGCAAAATGCTTACATTGAGTTTCTTCTAAGAATTTTCTCTCTTTTCTCTCCCTTAGTACCAGATCCAAGATTTATGATTCAAGACAATTTTTATTTCTCAGTAGTTTTTTTAAATAACATTTCCTAACACTATTTTGTACTTTATATATTTCGTGATTTTTTTTTTCTTTTCTCATTTTTTGGATTTAGATTTTGTGAATTGACTTTCTGCCTACCCAACCTATTTCTAATAGATTTACAATGGACTTTTGGGGGCTGTAGGCCTATCATCACATCCTCTTGAAATAATAGTAATTTGGTTAAATCATTTATCGTATGTTTTGTTTCTATTTCATAGCTAGAATTTCCAGGATAAAGTCAAATTATGATGGTAACAATGGTCATCCTATTTTGCTTTTTATTTTAATGTGAGTAATACTATTTATTATTAATGAGATATTTTGTTTGAATATATTCTCATTTATGCCTCATAGTAAACCTGAGGTGTGTACTATTATTGTTCCCATTTTATAAAATTGAGGCATTTTTTTTCTTTGGTCTCTTGGGTTTCACCATTGCATGAGCAGATTGGTATTCAGCCAAAGTTTAATGGTTCTATGCAGATTTCTGGGTCATTCTATATGTAGCTACCACCGCTCAGTACCAGGCCTTGCAAATTCTGCTCTCTTTATCGTTTCCATGCTGATGCCTGTCTCTTCAACTAAGTGAGGCACCGAGGGCCTGCATGTTTCCCCCTCCTTATGCTGTGGGCTAGAAATTGTGTGAGGCAGAAATCTGAGGTGATTTATCCCTTAACCATTTTTCTTTCCACTAGTTCAGTCAATATAGTCTTCTATTGCCAATTGTGTAGTTATAAAATATTTGTTCTTACATTTTGTACAGTTTTAATAGTTTTTTAATTTAAGAGGACTTAAGAATAAGTCACTAGCCTTGGTTGGATCTCTTTAATGAAACAAAGAAAATTAGAAAAGCAGAATTTTAAGGCAAAATAAATGCTCATATCTCACTGTTGGCATTACTGGAGGTGAATGGAAAAAGGGACCTTAAAGAGTCATGCAGTAAAATGCCCATTGTTAAGGATGATGAAACTGAGGTAAAGGGAAGCAAAACAATTTGCCAATTGATGTTTGATTTGTGACTTTATAGTTTGGGCGGAACCTGGGTCTCTAGTCCTATTTATTGTTCAATAGTCTGGTGTGCTATCTTTTTACCTCTTCAACTGCATAGAATATATCATAGTAATTAACATTTGTAATGATAAAAATGACACTAACAATTATACCCGTAAAAATGTTAAGTACATTCAGACTCCTTGCTTTTGATTAAATTAAATTTTAGTTTTGATTTTATCTTCCTTATGCAGTCATTTAATAGTAGTGTTTTACAGTATTTGATTTAAAATTATCCATCTTATTAAATCTGATTACACATCTATAGAAGTTAATAATTAGAAAAGCCATGAAATTGGAAAAATAGACAAGGTATTTTTATTGTATCTTTTGTTCTATATTTCTCATTTACTGCATCATATTGACTGGTTCATTTTCTCTTTTATGTGTTCCTTATTCACTGCATTATATTGACTAGCATTTTGCTGCACTGAATTCTATGCTTCAGTGATTTTTAAATTGGCATTATTCTAATTGTTTCATTTTCTTCCTTTAAGGATATTGCTTTAATGGGAAAAATTGGCTCTCGGAAAACACCTCAAGAGCCAGCAGAGCAGGGATTACAGATAAGAGTTGAAGAAGCTCAAATGGTAAAGTCTTTCATAACAAAATTCCTTGCTTATATTATTTTATAGTCTACCTCCTGTTGCATGAATGTTTGTTTAGAGAGTTAAAAAAAAAAACAAAACTCCTTCAATTTACTGTAGAGATGTGTTTCACTATTAATACTTCTAATCCAAAACCTCAATGAGAGCTGTGGCTACTTTGGCTCATCCTTGTTTTCTATGATAGATCTTGTGAGCTAAGGGGCCTATCTCTTTTCAGAAGGGAAAGATTATAACAATTATTCTGATCTATAGACAGTCAGATCTAGAAAGTAGTTGGAGCAGTAAAAGTCATTAGCTCCTCAGGAACTTTTATTTATTTAGCTAGAAATGTGAAAAGCATTGACAAGGGAGAAAAATTCGGAGCATAAGTCATTTTAAGTCTAATGTATCAAGTTTAGAAAACTTATGGAAGTTCAAAAAAGCCATGTATCCTATAATATGAGAATTACCACATGTGATTGAACTACTAGAGTTTGAGGTGCTTCTTGGTTTAAGACTTTGTCTTTCCCCCTTTTGTACTCTCATCCCTTGTTATAGGACCCAACATGTGTGGCACTAATAGCCAATCAGTAAAGGTATTTGGATAAGTCAGTTTTGAAGCCTCAACTGGAAATTGTATTGAGGCAACCAGGAGCAGAGAAATTTAAAGAAACGGAGTGATTATCAGTGCCAAAGCTATGGAGCATAAGATGAACAAGTCTCTCATAGGTGGAAAGTATGGATAGAAATAGATTACCCTAGTCTTGATCTCTTCTGTGATTTTATGAAAAGTGTTTTTATTGCTTGGTTTTTATTTACCAATGAGAAAACTGAGGTTGTAAGAGTTAAGTTGCTTGACCGTGATCATGAATCTGTTAATTGGCTGATCCAGGATTTGAATTAAGTCCCATTGGGCATAAAGCTCTTACTCTTACCACAACCCATATCTTTATAAAAACACAAGCTCCAGATAAAAGTTTCACTTTACAAACTTAGTTTTTTTTTTTTTTTCTCAGATATCTCATCTTTCATTATAAAGAGATTGTAAAGTATTTGGTACTGTATGCCATCTTTACCTTTTACTTATTAACAATGAGTGCATCAAAGAACAAAGTGAAAAATTGCATTTTCCAGTCAGTCTATAGAATTTGACTTTTATATAAATCAGACAGGTTTATTATCTATTAATTTAAGATAGTGAAGTTTTACCTGCTAATGCTCCATACCCCCAAATAATCGTGGCTTAAAATTGGGCAACACCTAAATATGGCTATAAAGATACTTAAGACTTGCTGAGAGACAGATTAAGTCAGTGAGGCATTTTTAAGTAACCCAAAACAGGTCAAGCAATGACATTTTGTAAGACTTTTTCATCTGAGCTTAGAACGGAGTGGTATGTCTGGGTCTCTTCTTGAGACCTCTGGGTCAACTCTTCTTTGAAGGCCTGATGTCAGGCTTCTAGAAGAGTACCTGACTAGCAGGAATCCTACTTAGAAAAAATGAAACTCAGGATAGGCAGAATGTTTCAATTGGCCTTGACTCTGTGTGAGTGTGGAGTGGAATCAGGGTAAGATTTGAGTTTGTTTCCTTAGAATTGTAGCATGTAACTGTTTTTGCTGATAGCTATCATGTTCTAAGACAAGAGTGGAGGCAAATAATTTGCCTGGCTTCCCATATTGCTTAAGTCATTTTGAGTTTCTCTTTCTAAATCTTCAGAGGAAATGTACTACCTCAGCTTAATTTCAATCATGCATGTTTAGAATGCTTTTGTTGCCAAAAAACAAACATTGCATGACTTAACAACTTTAGAAGGACCAATATAAAGAACTTGCTTGTACATTTATGTTTTCCAAAAGGAAGCGCTGGATGAACTTCCTGAAGTTGTATCAAGTCTTTCACAGATTGAACAAGAGGATATATCAGAATGGGGAATCTCAGATGGAGAAAGCATGGTGTTTAAAACTCAGGAAACTTTGGAAGTGAAGCCAGTTGATCAATCAAGTAAACCTTTGGAAGATAAAGAACCTGAAAAAGGTTCAAAAGCAGCCAAAAGGCTATCTTTAAAGGTAAAACACTATTTATGTTGGATACAGAGTTTTGTAAGTTGAGGGTGTTCAGATGTAAAGAAATGGCCCAGGCAAGGGCCAAGGCAATGGGTAGAGGGTGGGAGAGTGGGGGGGGTGCAGGTGAGTTACCCTGAAAAGAAACCCTGTGTGCAACTGCTAACAAACATAATTGCAAGTCTGGGGAGAGAAGACAGATTTTTAAAGAGGGAAGGACCTGAAGACTTTCAGAAATTGGCCAAGAATCTTCCCATTGTCATCTTGAGGAAGTTAGGAGCAGTTGCCTGGGGACCAAGACTGCACTCAGTTACAATATAGCTTACAAGTTACAATATAGCTTTGTAACTTGTCCCTTTTAGGTTTATCCTAAATCTTTGTCTTTTCCTATTGCAAGAATGTTTCCCAGATTTTCTTTATGTATAATATTTGTAGCTTTCAATCATATTTGCATATATTCTCACTGTTACTTACTTTCGTTTTTTTTTTTTAAAGTTTATTTTTTATTAATTTGTACATACGAGAACTGGGGTACAGACCAGAGATGTGGGTGGGTGAGGGGATTCACCAGAGACAGAGTGGGGAACAGAACAGGCAGATCTATTGAAATACACTGCTGCGGGGAGCAGCAGGTGAGCCAGGAGAGGTCTGCTGTGCCATGTGGGGTAGCTCCCTGGGTGGGACATTGAACTCATGCTGCAGCTGGAGATAGCTTGATAGTGCTGTTACTTAACCCCAGCGCCACCAGGGAGGCCACTCACTATTATTTTCTTAGTATTTTTCTTTAATTTGGATTACTTTTTATTAAACAAGTTAAGCTAAAAATAGCTACATTATCATTAGGATTAAGAAAGTACTTTTCACTGAACCATAGCATATTATATGATTATTGTTAGTTACCTTTCTTGGACTATTGTAGATGGAGGTCCATTTTTAGATAAACTATCTTCCTTGTCAAACGCGTTCCTTCTGGGTTTCCCTCTCCTACCAATGACTATGTTTCTACTATACTC